GTTGCTTTCAAGAAAAAATATGTAATTTGCAACATGCAACTGCATACTTTTTTTTAAAACCAATGTGTTTTCTTTATACCAATTGATTCGTCTCATTATTTTATGCATAAAAGTATTAAGGTAAGATTCCCAAAAATTGAATGTTTTACAAGATATTTTGTATTTTATGTCAAAATACTGTAATTTACAAGCCTCATAACTCAAAAAGTACTTAATAAAAAATAACTTCATTATAGTGTTTTGAAAAGCTCTTGACACCAGCTATTAGATTTTGGAATCAAAAATAGGAGTTTCCATTTAAAAAAATAACTCTGACCTTTAAATAACCTTGAAAATTGACTTCAAGGTCAAAATCACTAGCATAAATAGGTGACCCCCATTGTCCCGAACAACTTTTGTCTGAACCATTTTTCTGTATTTGGCTTACTTACGGAGTTATTTGCGTGGATGGATTAAAATGGCCCACCCTGTATAGTAATAAGACATGTCCTCTATATGCTAACATCACACAGGAATAAAAATATGTAAATTTAAGTGTAAGACATCATAATAAATTACTTAACAAAAAATATTGAAATAATAAATTATAAAAATATAAAAAAACATTATAATATAATATATAATATAATATATATAATATAAAAAAAATACTGCTGAATATCATCATCTGTAACAAAGAAAATAAAAAAATTATTAATAAAACGATTTCTACAAATAAAAGAAAAAAACTGTGATACCTACAATTATGGTAAATGGAGAAGTCCGTGGATAACACAGTCATTACAGCACTCATTATATCGTTCGTGCTGATTGTATCTTGTTCCATCTGCTGGAATAGTGTGATCATAACATTTATTTGCGTCATCACCGTTGTCAAATTATTTCTGGCTTCCGCTCTGGAAACAAATCATAAAATACACAATTAAGAAATGAAACTATAAGTTACAACAATTGTACATGTGTATAAGTGACACGGAATGAATATGTAATAAGAAAGTTACTTACATTAAAAGTATTATCGCCCCATGCTCATTTCCTTCTATGTTGTACGTGATCCGGAACATTTTGCTGCATCTCCTGCACCAATATTTGAAAACGATGCATCACGTCCGTCAATAATCTTTTTTTTTTTGATGAGGCAGGGGAAATCCTTTATGGATACCCACGGGTCCCGGGGGGGAATCCCGTGGGTTATGTGGGAGTCTCCTGAGAAGATGTCTCTGGCATACCCACTAAAATCCCTGCCGATAGCCTTCTTGGACCATGTAGAGGGAGGGTGAGGCATCACCAGCGGTATTCATCTCACCCTCCCTTAGGTCTGACCGAGAAACCGGTCTCCTCGCGGGGAGGGATGGGGACTTGCGTCCCTTCTCCCTCCCATGAGTACCTTCTATTACGGGAAAGGCTACTTTCCCGTAATTACTATTTAAAATGACTAAAACCGGGCTACCGCGACCTTTCCCCGCCCTCCCGTGTTTGGTGGGGGGCTGAGGTCAGCCGGGAGCCCCCGCTCCCAACTGACCCCCCGCCGAAGGAAAGATAGAATTCCGATAGTCTACGGTATCTCCCCTCCGGCCATCCAAGTCGGAGGGACCCTGTCTGGATCCCTCCTAGGGGGAATCCTCCCCGGGGGTTGATGGTGACGCGCTTATAGTGCGTGCCACCGCCCGGAGACGCCCTCTGTTCATCTGTCCCCTTGGGAGCGGGGGGGTTGTGTTGGCGGCGGTAGAGGAGGGGGATCATCCCCTCCTTCCACCGCCTCCCCCCTTCTCCTTCTCTCTGCCTCCTCCTTCTGCGACATTATGCTGTTACAGAAGGAGGAGACGGCCCTCCATTTATCTTCTCCCTCCAGCATAGCTCTCACTAATGCTGGAAGGGAGAGGTCCTCGCCAACCACTGCGGTCAGGATCCGGCGTTCCCCCTCCCATGCTTCACACTTCACGAGAATGTGTCGCGCCGAGTCCAGACCGGCCGCGCAGTGGTGGCACTTGGTCGTATACTCCCTACCGATCCTACACAAGTAGTCACCGAAGCAACCGTGCCCGGTGAGTACCTCTGTCAGGTGGAACCCGATTCCGCATCCCCTCCTCTCCGCCCATTCGGGAAGACAGGGTTGGATGGCCTGGGTGGTCCATCTGCCCGCCTTGGAGCCAATTAGGGAGGCCTGCCACGCCTCCATGGCTCCCTGGCGGGCGTCCCTCCTAAGCCTAGCCACGACTCGTGGTAATAGGCGGGCGCTCCCGGGCCGGTCTGGGTCCCTCGTACACCGATAGAATTCAGCGTACGAGTTCGCCAGGAACTCGGCCGGGAGGAGGCCCGCCAGAGCCGTGGCCGCCGCGAACGACGCTGTGCAGTAGGTCCGGATCAGCCTGATGGCCAGTCGGCGCTGTTGACGATGTAACATCGCTTGTATGCGCCGACTGGCCGCGACCCTGTCAGCCCACACCGGTGCCCCGTAGAGGAGCACCGATTAGACGACGTTCGCGTAGAGTTTTCTGACTCTGTTTCTAGGACCACCCAAGTTCGGAAGGAGGCGACCTAACGCAGTCGCCATCCTATCCGTTTTGGGGGTTATCTCAGCGAAATGCTGCTTAAACCCCCAAAGTCCATCCAGAGTGAGGCCCAGATACCTTGTGGCAATCATCGCAACTAACTTTACCGATAAAGATGGAATTTTGTTTGCCGATATTGAGTTGCGATTAGTAACAAATATTTATTGATTAATTACCATAGAAATAGTTTATTGAATCACTATAACAACATTAGTATTTTGTTAAACATTTTTATTTTGTTAATCACACACTCTTCATCTGTACATGATTACATTAACATCAAGTTAAAATATAAAAACATTAAAATACAATTTGATCTTTTTATTATCGTATGTAGTAGTTCTCATTTTAACCGCTACATAATTGGTGACCCCGACGTGATCGGAAAAATCTAATTAACTTGAAGAGCCGCGGAAAATTTAAATTTTGAACGATATAATAGAAGATGCCTATTAACCATTTACCTCCTTCATCGCCGAAAACATCATCGACTCAAGAAGAAGCATCAGGAACACGGAATATATTAGAAAGAGCAACGATGCTGAATAGCGGTCCATCTAATTCAGGTGAGTCAATTGAGATTCACGCGAATGAATTCAGATTATTAAAATTACCGATCTTTTGGCACAAACAACCAAAGTTATGGTTTGCTCAGTTAGAGAGTGAATTTTTAATATATCGTATTCGATCGGATGAAATAAAATTCAGTACCGTAATTCGTCATCTTGATGAACAAGCATTGGTAGCTGAAATTATTGAAAGACCGCCTGAATTAGATAAATATAATTATTTGAAAAACGCATTAATTAACCGCTTTACGGATTCGGAAGAGAAAAGATTGCGTCAAGTTTTAGCGGGAATTGAACTTAATGACAAAAAACCGTCAGATTTACTTCGTGAGATCAGACAATTAGCTGGAGGAGCTATTTCGAACAATGTTCTACATTCAATTTGGTTGCAACGTTTACCATACCGCGTACAGGCAACTTTAGCTGTTGTTGAAGAAAGTCCATTAGCTAAATTAGCTGAATTAGCGGATAAAATTGTTGACCGGGACAATGGATCACTTCAAGTCTCAGCGATTACTCCGTCTGCTGAATCAAATTCAAAATCAGGCAATCTTGTTGATCTTGAGCGCAGAATAGCTGCATTGGAAGTAAATCGTTCCCGTGACAGATCAAAATCTAGAAATTTTGAAAGAAAACATTTTAGATCATCATCTAGAAACAAAAATGCATTAACTAATAAAAAAGATGAACAAATTTGTTTTTATCACAAGAAATTCGGTAAAAAAGCTTTTAAATGTACTATTCCTTGTTCAATGTCAAAGTTACTTACTGAAAAGACAGATAAGCAGGAAAACTAAGCTTACCGTTGAAGGAAGAGGCGACAGTCAACGGTTCACCCAACGTCTCATCGTCTTCGATAAAACTTCAGGTTTGAATTTTCTGATTGATACTGGAGCTGATATTTCTCTTGTTCCTAAAAAAATATTTCAGAAATCTTCAATTTCTACATTTAAACTTTTTGCTGCAAACGGTACTAAGATAGATACCTACGGTACAAAAACTGTAGCTCTTGATCTTGGTCTTCGCAGAGATCTTAAATGGAAATTCTGCATTGCAAATATCCAACGACCTATCATTGGTGCAGATTTTTTGAGTCATTATGGAATTCTAGTTGACATGAAACACAAAAAATTATTAGATTCAATAACTGGTTTGTCACAAAAAGGAAAATTGACAAATATTAACCAGATTACAATTTGTACAACATTACATGACTCACCTTTCCATAAAATCCTCGCAGATTTTCCAGAATTAACTCATTTTGCTCCAATTACAGCAAATAGAATACATCAAATGGAACACCACATTGTTACAAAAAGTTCTCCAGTTGCGACTACACCTCGTCGTTTATCTCCAGAGAAGTTAAAGTTTGCCAAGAATGAATTTAAACACATGATGGAACAGGGAATCTGTCGTCCTTCAAGCAGTCCATGGGCAGCACCGATTCATATGGTTCCCAAAAATGGACAGGACACATGGAGATTATGTGGTGATTACAGAGGTTTGAATGCTGTGACACTTCCAGATAGATATCCTCTTCCACATATTCAAGACTTCACATCTGGTCTTCATGGTAAGATCATATTTTCAAAGATTGATTTGGTAAAGGCATACTATCAAGTTCCTGTAGCCAAGGAAAATATTCCTAAGACAGCTGTCACTACTCCTTTTGGCTTTATTTGAATTTTTAGTTATGCCATTTGGGTTACGAAATGCAGCTCAAACTTTTCAAAGGCTCATGAATATAATATTAACAAGACTTGATTTCTGCTTTTGTTATCTTGATGATATATTAGTTGCATCATCAAATATTGAAGAACATCATAAACATTTACGTATTATCTTTTCATGTTTAAAACAGTTCGGATTAACTGTTAATGTTTCTAAATGTCTCTTTGGAAAAGAGGAGATTTCTTTCCTTGGATATCTCATGTCCAAACAAGGAATCAAACCTACAAATGAAAAAATGAAAACAATCATTAATTACAAACAACTTCAAACAGTTCAAGAATTAAGAAGATTTTTAGGGTTTATTAATTTTTACCGTCGATGTTTGAAAAATGCTGCTTCACAGCAAGCAATTCTTACAGACTATCTTAAAGATAGTAAGAAGAATGATAAAAGACCAATTGTTTGGACAGAGAATGCTATTAAAGCCTTTAATTGTTGTAAGGAAGAACTTTTAAAAGCAACATTATTATCTCATCCTGCTCCAACAGTTCCATTAATTCTTACATGTGATGCTTCAGACAGTGCTATTGGTGCTTCTCTAGAACAAATTATAGGTGGAATTAATAAACCTATTGCTTTCTTTTCAAAGAAACTTGATAATGCTCAACGTAATTACAGTACTTACGATAGGGAATTACTCAGCATTTTTTCAGCAATTAAACATTTCAGATATTTAATTGAGGGACGCCAACTATTGATTCAAACAGACCATAAACCTCTAGTTTATGCCTTTAGACAAAAATTGGACAAAGCGTCACCTCGACAGATACGTCAACTTGATTTCATTGCTCAATTTTCGACAGAAATCCAACATATTTCTGGAAAAGATAATGTTGTAGCTGATGTTTTATCACGAATTGAAGCAATTTCTATGCCGGTCATTGTTTCATGAGAAGAATTAGCAGAATTTCAAAAAGAGGATGAAGAACTTGTAACACTTCAAGCAAATCCCTCACTTAAGTTGCAAAAATTAATTCTTACCGGTACAACAACTCCAATTTTTTGTGATTGTTCGACTGAAAATATACGTCCGTACATTCCACAACGTTTAAGGAGAAAAATTTTTGATGTTGTCCATAATTTATCTCATCCAAGTGGAAGATCAACCTGTAAAATGATACAACAGAAATTTATTTGGCCTTCTATGAATAAAGATATTAAAGAATGGGCAAGAATGTGCTTACCTTGTCAACATGCCAAAATACAACGACATACGAAAAATATTCCAGAAAAGATAGCCATTCCAGATCATCGTTTCCAACATGTTCATTTGGACTTAGTTGGCCCGTTATTACCATGTCGGAATTATCGATACTGCCTGACCATGATTGATAGATTTTCAAGATGGCCAGAAGCTATTCCTCTTAAAGAAATTTCAGCAGAAAATGTTGCAACTGCTTTCTTCAATCATTGGATAGCAAGATATGGATCACCAAATCCTATCACAACGGATCAAGGACCTCAATTTGAAGCAACTCTTTTCAAAGCTCTCACCAACCTTATCGGTTGCGAGTGGATAAGGACTTCTGCGTATCATCCAGCCTCAAATGGTATCCTGGAAAGATGGCATCGTACATTAAAAAGTGCTATTATGTGCCATGCAAATAAAAATTGGTTAGAATTATTACCTACTGTTCTTTTGGGTTTACGTACCTGTTATAAAGAAGATTTAAAAGCATCATCGGCAGAAATGCTTTATAAAACAACATTACGTATTCCTGGAGAATTTTTCATTGAAGAAGATCTTTCTCCTGATCCAGAAATCTTTTTAGAAAAACATAGGATTCACATGAGAGAAATTAATTCTCAACCAGTAGCACATCACACAAAAAAGACACCTTTTGTCATAAAAATCTTTTTGATTGTACTCACGTTTGGTTACGCGATGACTCAGTCAGAAAACCGTTACAACCACCATACTCTGGTCCATTCAGAGTTGTAAATAGAATAAATAATAATGTTTTCACTTTAGAAATTTCAGGTAAAAATGTCAATGTCACTATCGAACGGCTGAAACCTGCATTCCTTCCTAAAGAACCAAATAGAGATCAAACAGATTCTACGTTTTCCTCTTCTACTCACGAGCCACTCAGAACACTTAGAACATATACTGGTCCAAGGAAGAAGGTTCAATTCGCAACGTAGGACGTTGCTCGGGGGGGGAGTACTGTGGCAATCATCGCAACTAACTTTACCGATAAAGATGGAATTTTGTTTGCCGATATTGAGTTGCGATTAGTAACAAATATTTATTGATTAATTACCATAGAAATAGTTTATTGAATCACTATAACAACATTAGTATTTTGTTAAACATTTTTATTTTGTTAATCACACACTCTTCATCTGTACATGATTACATTAACATCAAGTTAAAATATAAAAACATTAAAATACAATTTGATCTTTTTATTATCGTATGTAGTAGTTCTCATTTTAACCGCTACAACCTCATCTGGGTCCCCACCCGGACGCGGACCTCCCCCACCCAGATCTGGGTGGAGGGAGGACGCCCCAAGGCCCTGTCATAAAAGAACAGGGCCTCCGTCTTC